TCAAGACACTTCACCCCTAAATGCTTATACAGGTATCTCCTAAGAGTCTCCCACTTAATCCAGTACCACTGTCACAACTAAGAAAATTAGCAAGCATTTCCTAATATCATCTAGAACACAGTCCGTATTCAAACTTCCAAGCACTCTTTCTTTTGGAGGTCTCATTCTATATCATATCAAATATATTAAAATGCACCCCTAGTACTGTTTTTCTGAAAAAAATTTTTTTAATGATTTAGCTACAAGTAAACCATTTATTCTGTGATCAGCTAGTCTCTCAGCAAGCATGGTACATGGTCTTTTTGAAGGGAAATACTCTAACTTACTGATTTAAAATATAATTACGTTTTTTTAGCCTGGCCGGTATGGCTCAGTTGGTTGAGCATTGTCCCATGCACCAAAAGGTCACTGGTTTAATTCCCTGTTAGGGCACACACCCAAGTTGCAGTTGGATCTCTGGTCAGGGTGCATACAGGGTCAATGTTTCTCTCTCATACTCTCTCCTTTCTTCTCTCTAAAATCAATAAATATATTTAGATATATATATAATTACTGTTTTATGAATATTAACATGTTATCAATTAATGTCAGCATAATTTTTAGTTTATAGACATTTAATTGTTTCTTAATTTCATTTTCATATTTTGGGGTCACTCCTTTTTTTTTCAGGTCTCAAACATTTTCTTAGGTCTTCAGAAAGCACCTTGGCCCTAGGCACTGGTGTAGAGCTGCCTACTAGATAGAGCTAGCTTGCTGGGAGCAGGAGGTATGAGAGGGTAACTCAGCCTGTGGCCTCCAAAATAGAAAGGGATCTCAAGCCCCAAACCTCTGCCTCCCTGAGGCAGCCGCCATTGCCCAAGTTCCAAAACCTGGGCTGAAGTGAGGAGTCCTGAGGCTCAGAGGGGAAGAAAGGGTGAGATAAAAGCTGCTTCTAGGAGACAGCCATTTCCTGCCTATGCATCCCAGTGGCAATGGGTCACCTCTGAGGGCACTAGGCTTTAAGACAGTAGTTACAAGATGTAATCTGAGCAAGCCTCTGCACTGGTCAGAAACTCCAGAGTGGGGCTAATTTGGAAGAGTTTGGTAGCTTTTTGTTTTGTTTCTGCTGTGGAGGATATCTGAAATCATGAGTGTCTAATATGAATTTAATTCATAAAACCAAAAAAGATTCTGGCTGTAGGAAATTTTGGGACGATGGCTCTCATAAGACAAAAACACAATAGAAAGTAGAGAAGTCTGTATTAGACACTTTCTCAACTGAGGAAGAAAGGAGTCCTATTTATGCTTCTAAGAGGATTTCATTAGTATAAGTCAACATAATAATAATTGTCTTAAGGCATAAAAGGGGACAGGTATTATTATTGACCCTATTTTGCAGATGGGGAAACTGAGGCTGGGAGACATAACATGCCTTGTAGAGGTCTTGCTGAGATTCAGTTGGTAGAACTGGATGGACCTTGCTTGCCATAATGATTCAAGAGAAAAAAATGAGGACTTCAGTATTTTAAGTCCATTTTTAAAAATAAAGAATTGCTTTGTTTTTTTAAAGCTTAGCAAAGGAGTTAAAAGCAGAGTGACTTCATTTTTACTTTCATGTAAAGCTCCCAGAAGACACATGTTCTCAGCAAAGTCTGAATGCAATGCTGCTATCACACCGTGCTGGGCATGAATTGCTCATTTCACGAAGCATGACTCAACCATCACATCAGGAATGTTTTTCCTCTTAAAACCTCTTGGAGCCAAATTGTTAAAAGAATCAAGAGGAATCACTTAGTGAAATGAGTGGTCGTCAAATAGCAAACACTTTGGAGAAAATGATGATTGTGGAGGAGACAGATGACATCAAATACTAGATGCTGACTGTGAAGATGTTAAGACTATTACATGCAATCAAGGCTCCTAGAAGCAGAATTAATGTAGTTCCCCCTCCTCCCACGGTAATATTCTAGGGAGAAATGGAGTAAAAGTGGTGGGATTAACTGTTTCATTATTTTGAAAATCTTGACTTAACACTTCATGATCTATTTCTAAATCCAGTGTATGCTGATACTTGCATTTAATGACTGTCAGAGTTAAGGGGGAAGAAAAAGACCTCACAAAGATCCTTGGGTCCAAATAGAGGAACATCACCAACCGAGCTTATTAAACCTGAAATCTGAGTTTTCAGCCCCGCCCACCAGCTACACAAAGGTTTTTACTGAATTCATTTGCTAGATTCCATGTCCCCAATTCATTCTTACAAACTAACTGATGTCTCACTGACATTTTAACAAATGGATCCAAAACCTAGTGTAAGTCTTAGTTTGGAACATTTTGAAACAGAATGGAAAATTTAACTTTTAAAATGCTCAGATAGGAGCATGTCAGGTTACACAGACTTTAGAAATAAAGGCAGACAGATGGAAACATCTCCAAACAGACACCAGGAAGAGACAGAATGTGTCTGTTTCTCTCAAACTAACTCCTGAAGTAGCATGGTCGTTAGTATAAAATACATCCCAGATGCCTGTTGTTACAGAAATGGTGAGCAATTGGAGTTGTGTCATTTTGGGAAAGAAAAATGTCTAAGCACATCTTTCAGTTGGGTGTTTCTCTGCCATGAAATAACCAGGGAATCATCCAAATGGCCCCAATCGAAACAATTTCTTTATGGCAAAGCTGGTTTATTGAACTGCATGGGGGAAATGTTACAGTGACATTATTCCACAACAAAAGTATTGAGTTTAGATTTCATGAGGAAACATAGCAGTACACCGTCAATAAAGCATTGTCATCAATAGCTAACTACATTAGATTCTGGATTAGCTTCCTTTGGTGTTCTTAAATTAAGACTTCTCCAAAACATATCTGATGTTTTCAATTAAAGTCACAGTTTAAATAAATTCACACAGGAGTTACAAAATGTGTGATTTGTGCTTTAAAATTAATAGTTGTTTGATAACCACCATTCTGAAAATGATTTCTCAATAGTCAATGAAATAATTTATAAACATTTTAGAAAATATCTAAAAGTTTTATCCCCATTCAACTAACATGTATGTTCTTTTCAAAAATAAAACATACATAGAAAAAATTTAAAACAATAAATCATTACAAATGAGATACAAAGTTTTAAATTAATAAATATTAAAGTGAAAAAATAAGTCCTTTCACAGAACTGTAAATACTTCCTAAGTTCTTACAAAAAGAAATAATTTCCTTTTTTAAAAATCATTAATAACATAATGAAAAAACACAAATGTGATTGGAAAGTCTGTAAACTTTCTTCCCCCACTCCAGAAAATGTTTTGAAAAGCAATAAACAGATTCCCTTCTTTAAAAAACTATTATGCCCATCACAATTATTACAGCTGTCACTGTTTCACTATAAAAATAGTTACAAATCAACATTAATTTACATAAAGTCAAATCATTTTTAATTCTAGCATGATAAGAAAAATGAATTAATCTCTCTAAATACAAATAACGCCAACTTGTTTATCCTTAAGTTCTAATATTTAAAACTGAACAATTATTTTCTATAAATTTGGTTAGTTCATTTAATAGAATTATCCCATTTTTATAATTAAATTATCCGTTAGGACCATCATGATGATAAAACAAAAAACCTAAACTAGATTAGATACATATTTAATTGGCTTCATATATTCTGAAAATATTGTAAGTACAATCATCTTTTGGCTTAATTTCCTCTAAAATGATCAAGGACGCCCAGCTGGTGTGGCTCAGTGGTTGAGGGTAGACCCATGAACCAAGAGGTCACTGGTTTGATTCCCAGTTAGGGCACATGCCTGGACTGTGGGCTTGATCCCCAGTAGGAGGCGTGCAGGAGGCAGTCGCTTGATGTTTCTCTCTCATCCATGTTTCTATCTCTCTATCCCTCTCCCTTTCTTTCTCTAAAAATCAATAAAAACATTTTTTAAAAATAAAATGATCACGGACAGCAATCTTTCAGAATTAGTCAATGTGCACACTTCAGTTAAAGTTCATGGCTTACATTCCATTCATGTAAGAGTTTCATATGCAAGCTTATTCTTTTCTATGTGCAAAGTCCTAAATTCAAAGTAAAAATATTTAGGGTAAAACAAGTCTTTGAAGTGTTCTTTCCACCACTGAGGAATAGGCAAGATTTTTTTCAGTATCTAACTTGATTTTCATACTGAGGAGAAACAGCATGTTGTGGCCACAAAATTTAAAGATTTTAAAAATCGGTGTACTATAACACAATACTATTCCAGAAATATATGTACACTCACAGCAATTAGAGGTGTATCCTCAGAGCTACAATCCAAATGGAAGATGATTTGTTAATTCAGCCTTGAGTCATTTAAGTTGATTGGGGGTGGCAGAGAGCAGGAGATACTATGCCAGATACTTATCTTGAAATTACTAAAAGCTAAGAATAAGGTTCCTGTGATAGCCAGGAATCATGTTTACCTATATTCGCCCCAAGTTACAACTCCTCAGATGCTTTCATTTTTTCACTGTTTAAAGATATCATAATAAAATATAAAGCACCTTATTGTCACTTCATTTGCACTAGAATTTGACTCATTTTTGCACATTTTAATAGAATTTATTAAGAAAACAATACAAATTACTCTTTTAAAAACAACGATATCTGGAAAACTCATTGACATTCATTAGAAATATTAAGTATCTAGAACTGTTGGGAAAGTCCCTTAAGAACTGACACGCCGACACGGACAATGATGGAGAGGGGGACTGGGGAGGGGGAAGGGAAGGGGGAAACGGGTCATTGGGGAGAAAAAGGGACATCTGTAATATTTTAAACAAAAATAAAATTAAAAAAAAAAAGAATTGAGACCCAGCCCGGCCCTTGTGACTCAGTGGTTCAGCATCAACCTATGAACCAGGAGGTCAGGGTTCAACTCCCCATCGGGGCACATGCCTGAGTTTTGGGCTCAAACCCCAGTGGGGTGAGGGTGGGGATTGGGTTGGGAGGTAGCCGATCAATGACTCTCTCTCATCATTGATTTTTCTCTCTCTCTCTCCCTTCCTCTCTCTGAAATCAATAAAAATATATTTGGAAAAAAAACAACCCAAAAACTTGAGACCCAGAAAACATTCTATGCCTTCTCCTCCCACTGGAACTAAAAAATTGGCTCTAAAATATACCAATAATAATGCAATTAAGTCTATTAATAATACAAAAAGAACTCTGGGGAGAAGCAAATACAAGTTTTGATCCTACTGAGAACACTTCCCATTTAAAGGACATACCATGATGTGTGTACTAAACCCTTAATATTTTTTGTCAATCTCAGGAACATAGGACTGAACATTTATTGACTCTTGAAACTCCATCATGCTCTCAACTGAAGCCTCCTTCACTGGGCTCTAATGGGAAGATGGTCTGATCATCCTACCTCTGCTTCATTTCCAGCCTCGCCTGAAAACCAACATTTTCCTTGTGTTGTCACACCGACAAACCTGATTATGTAAAGACATAATAAAGAAGTGAGCATGACGACGATAAACAGTGAAGTGCCAGGATGATCCATTATATCTGAGATTAAATCTTATGACTATCACTGTCATACTTCGCAACTATTTCTTTAGTCAAAACTCAACAGCATCGTAAAGACTGTTGTTTAGCACCAGCACGTCATCACAGGCTTTGGTTCAGGCTTCAGGGTAACTCCATCATCAGGGGGTTGACTAAGCATTAATGGTTTGTGGCTCTTAAGCTTATGAGCCAAGGTCATAAATATTGCTTCCACGTGGTCATTATCATTGGGGTTTTTAGCAGAGGTTTCAAACAAAGGCATACTGTGTGTGTCAGCAAATTTTTGTGCCAAGTCTGTAGGTACCTGAATGGCACTTCTTAAGTCACATTTATTTCCAACAAGAATCCGCGGTATATCACTGGCTAGCAAATGCTGTTTGCACTCTTCTATCCAAGATGGGAGGCTATGAAAACTAGCCATGTTGGTCATGTCATACACAAAAACAACGGCATGCACGTTTCTGTAGTAGTGCTGCACCATGCTCTTTCTGAAGCGTTCTTGGCCTGCTGTGTCCCACAGCTGGATCTGAAAATGAAAAAAAGAAAGAGGAAAACTGAAATTTCATTCCAATTATTCATACTGAAAATCTGAATCACCTTTGCATGGGCTTTAGTATGTCTTCACTTATATTACTTGGTTCCCTTCCATAATGCCTTTTCCGTGTTATTTATGGGATCTATACTTCATGATGCTAGTCTACACACCTCATAAATAATGCAAGTAACAGAATATTTCAATTTAGCACTTAAACCTCAATACATCAGATATGTCTGGATGAAATTATGCTTCAAAAAATGATTTTAAAATATTAAGAGAAAACTATATCAGATTTTTATAAACATTAAGTGTCAAATTGCTATAAATTTGGTTACTATATGCCCTTGTCTACCTTTCACAGATCTAATTTAAAATACTAGACTTAATACAGATGTTGAGTCATGAGGTCTAGCCCCCAAACCAACAAATATATACATTCTATGAAATCTAGGCCCCCTTGAAAATTTTTAAAGTCTAGAAAATCACTTTTCTATCCTGAACATCTCTACCAACAAAACTATTACACTGTCTCCTAGTTGAAATACGGAAGAATTGAGGAAAATTATATCTAAAGCTAAATATAAGTCATGTGTACTTATCTTAAAACACTGAATTATCCTGCATTTAAAAAAAGAGTTAAATGATGAGGGTTTACTAGTCACAGTAGAAAAGACTAGAGGCAGATTTAACTGAAAAATGTGTACAATTTATAGATATCCAAAGTATGGACTGGAAGCCTAAACTGGTGACTTCACACAGAGCAATACAGAAATAACAGGAAACAGGATATATTATAGATGGTCCTTAGAAAATGCCTCATTAACCTAGTAATGACTTTTATGGCTCTCCAATAAAGTATGAAGTTATTATTTCATACTTCTTGTTTCCCAGGTGTCTTGATATGATTAGAATGCATAGAGTTTTGAGCAGGATTGATGGGAAGAAGACTATGGTTGAGTCAATCCTATCCCAGAACAAAACAAAGGCTGTCTTAGGGATCAACATCCTCCTCATCACTACTTACATTTACTAAGGACTTCCACAGTTCTTCAAGGCAGGTCTAAATTCTGTGTAATTTTTTTTTAAAGTTTCATTGTTATAAAAGAGATACATGGAAAACAAAAAGTTAGAAATAAAGGGGGAAACTGCCTTAAAGATAACCATTGTTAATATTTTGGTATATTTCCTTTTCGTAGGTTTTTTTAAAAAACTTATAGACTGTGCTTAAAACATTATAAATGATTCTTCATCGATGAAATCACTTTTAAATACCTGAGTTACAAGAAATGTTATTAAAAATAAAAGATCAGCTCCAATTTCTTTGGATAGCATTTATATGAGTCATCCAAATTATTCCCAAAATACCTTTCAAAATGTTAAAGATACATTTTGAAGTGGATTCTTTTTTAATTAAAAAAATTGAGATAAAATTCACATGTCATAAAATTTACCCTTTTAAAATATACAATTCAGTGGTTTTTAGTATATACCCAAGACTGTTTATCATCATTATCTAATTCCAGAAGATTTTATCACTACAAAAAGAAACCCCATACCCATTAGCAGTCACTCCCTTCTTCCCCTGGGTGATGCTGAGGAGAAACAGGAGAGACAGATTTGCCAGGAAAGATGGATTCCTTCAGACATTTGAGGCAAAGGAGGGATTATCCAAATAGCCATGTCTAGAAGACAGAATGAAATGCAGAATGATAGAGGAGGAGAGAGGTCTGGGCCAACCAAAGATTTGGAAGTTACCTTCAGAGAAGTGACAGCTGAAGTAAGAGACTACTTACTACAAAAAGAGAGAAGACAAGAGAGAAGAGAAAGTCAAGGGGCAGACTGAGTCTCACCCGGATTCCCTCTCTTAATTATCCATACAGGGTGTCCCAAAAAAAAGTACACATGCACCGAATAACTATAAAGGCAGTGTTTATTAAAATACATTTCATTTTCAAAATGTATTAGAAATCAGCTGTTAAAGTGCGTATGCAGTCTTTGGGGACACCCTGTATAAGTAGTCAGGAACAGATGCACAAATACAGACTTTATTACATTTCCTAAAAGGTCACTGATATAAAACATGCTCTCTGAAAATTTTCCAGTCCACAATTAAAAACATTTAACACATCTTATTTTTATCAAACAAAATAAAGTCTAGAATTTTATTTTATTAGTAAAGTGACATAGCGCTTTCCAGCTTTCACTTTAAGATTAAATTAGAAGAGCCCAGCCGGGCCTGGCTCAGTGGTTGAGCATCGACCTAGGATCCAAGTGATCGGAGTTCAATTCCCAGTCAGGGCACATGCTCGGGTTGTGGACTTGATCCCCAGTCAGGGGTGTGCAGGAGGCAGCTGATCAATGACTCTCTCATCACTGATGTTTCTATGTCTCTCTATCCCTCTCCTTTCCTCTCTCTGAAATCAATAAAGATATATTTAAAACAAAGATTAAATTAGAAGAAATGTCATTTCAGATTAAAGTGATAATTTTCCAAAGAGAAAATATAAACATGGTAGAAACAGCGGCACTTAAGATGTATTAACAGGTTAACAAAAAAGAAGCAAAAACAGTACATGGAATAAAGCTCTTCTATGTCACTTCAGTGAGTATTTTTTTAACACTATAATAACGAACAAAATAGAAACAGACTCAGATAAAAAACAGCCTGACAGCTGTCACAGGGGAGAGGGGTTGTGGGGCTGGGTGAAAAAGGTGAAGGTTAAAGCAAAAAACAAACAAAAAAATCATAGACACAGACAAAGGTATGGTGATTACTAGAGGGAAAGGGTAGGGGGAGGAAGAGGGCATGGGGGAATAACAGGCGATAGAAGGAGACTTGACTTCTTGACTTGGGGTGGTGAACACATAATACAATATACAGCTGATGTATTATAGAACTATATACCTGAAATCTGTATAATTTTATTAACCAAAGTCACCCCAATAAATTCAATAAGAAATAAAAATTAAGTTTTAGAAACAGTGTCCAATATAACCGTATCTTTTTCCACTACAGAAATCTCAGAACATTGCTGTAGTCTTTTCAACCACAATAAAAATCTCTCTCAAGTCTTACAGTTGGAGGTACAAGTCAATGACTAGGGCCTTAGAAAGAAGAAAAAGAAACTCAGTGTCCAGGCCCCTATTAACTCAAAAGGTTAGGCTGAAGCTCAGGAGGAATAATTCCCCCCAAAATGTTTTCTCCTTGCCCCTCTCAACCAGAAAGGTCAACTCTATGCTCCCAGATTCATTACAGCAGTGGTCCTGGTTTGCTTATCACTGCCAACACTCATCCCAGCAAAGAAGTCAACTTTATACACTGGGCATGTTTTATTTTCAATGTTAAATATCTCTTAAATTTGTACATGCGTGATTCATCTGTGATCTTACTGTATAAATGGCAACCCAGAAACAGGTAAAGGGCCATCAAATCTGAACTCCTTCCCTGCCTCCCTTCCCTCTATTTATTTTTTAAAAATATCCTATTCCCGTTTGGGGGGAATTTCTCTCCTCTGCAGCCGTCTGCCTGTGCCCTGCTTTATCTCTGCTTCACTCTCTGGTTATACAGCCACAGAACTGATGGTGCCAAAGAGGAATAATGATGTGAAGCCACCAGGGAAGGAGGTGATGACTTTTCTTAAGATTACCAACTACGAACGTGGCAGTTCATATATGCCCTCTTCTAATCCTCCCACCAGCCTGACGCGGTATCATTATCCAGTGTTTCAGAAGAGAAAACATAGCCTGCCTGAGGACTAGAGTAACCAACCACACCAGTTCACCTGAGACTGAGGGGCTTCCAGGGACTTGGGACTTCCAGTTTTAAAACTGCAGCGGTCTTGGGCAAAGTTGGTCAGCCTACTAAGGACACAGCCCATCATTACCCTTTCACAGGTTCACATGTGGACCAGGAAAGCCCACACACTTTCTCCCAGAACTCCTGCTTCTTCCAAACTAAACTCCCTCTCAAACCTCAGAGGCCCCATTATTTTCTCACAGGTTCCTGGGCCTAACCTAATTCTGATGAAAAAGATTCAGCCCCTCTCATTCTATCTTTTCCTCTGTAATGGATACAAATCGTTCTTAACTCACTAATACAGGGCACCCAGAGGACCACCAATGGCAGCTTGAATGGAACAACGAAAAATTAAAGTGAAAATAAAACGGCAAAGGAACCTACAGAAGGCTGATTTCTTTTCAGCCCTACCTCTCCTTCACCATCATTAGCATTTAAACCCCTTTAGGGATGAGGAGAAGGGCAGTGGTCAGGGAATTAAAAATTAAATATTTCTTGCTTCAAGGATGTAAAGGTAGAAATGAAGCAGTGAGCCTAGTTGCCCCCAGGGGGGAAATGAGGCAAAGATGAATATTCTAATTTAAAACAAAAAAGTAAAGGTAGTATGAGGAAGGCAGGGCAGTTCCTAGGGCCCGCATGTTTTAAGGGGTGGTATTAGATGGCTAAGGAGCTGGTGGTGGCTTGCAATGAAGAAGTGTGTCTGAGGTTTACACCATCAGGAGGCCTTGGCCCTGTCACTGATCCTCAATCTCCAATGCCCCATTCCAACTCCTCAGAAGCCCAGTCTTGGCCCTGAGCTTACTGCCTTCCCCACTATTTCTGTGTCCCCAGTCTCAGGAGCCACCAAAAAGAATTAAAGAATTGGGAGAGAGTGGTGCCAAGAATGTGCTTCTGGTACCCGAACAGGAACTATCATGTACAGGCTATTTCAGCAGGAAAACAGATTTTTCTAAACAACTCAATGTCACATAGAAACCTGTAGCAAAACTGGATGCAAAGCATTTCTCAAAGGCAACAGGGCCTTACTGCCACAATATCTCAGGCAGTGCTCAGATGACTGTTCAATAAGTAATACTTATTAAATGTTCCATGATTGAGAAATTCCTTTGGTCTTACTTCACTGGCTCCCAGCACAGGAGACACTGACAATGAGTCAGTGGCTGCCCCCTACACTCTTACTACTCAACAGTGTGGTCCTCGGGCCGGCCGCATCTGCATCACCTGGGACCTTACCAAGTCAGAATCTGTCTTTAAAAAAAAGATCCCTGGGTAATGAACATGACATTAAAGCTGAAGAAGCACTGCCTTAGAAGTTTGCTATATACAAATCCTTCCAATCTCCACACGAGCGTGAGAAAACATGGAGCGCACACCTTGCGCGGTGCCGGCGTTTAACCCACCCTGAGGCGGGGGCACGTGTCACCCCGGGGCGTCCTTCCCCCTTACAGTCCCCCACCCGCTCACCTTGATGCGCTCCCCATCAATCTCCACTGCTCGCTCTCGGAAGTCCACCCCGATAGTAGCCTCCGTGCGGTCAGGGAAGCGGCCGGCGCAGAAGCGGTAGGTCAGGCACGTTTTGCCCACATTGGAGTCGCCGATCACGATTATCTTGAAGATGCGGGAGCGTGCGGGCGGCAGAAACACTGACGACCCTGACAGCGCTCCGCTAGACGTGAAGCTCGCCTCCAGCGACGACTCCATCTCCGAGGCCATTCTCCAGACCCGCCCCAATCTGAGGCGGAGGAAAGGAGGTGCAGACCCGCTGGGAAATTACGCCACCGGGAGCGAACGAGCGCGGCCAGCCCGCCGGCCGCGCTGCGCAACGTCGCGGGAGCCACCA